AATGTTTTATGTTTTGATTAAAAGATAGTTAACATTAAACGTCAGCAAAACCCTAAGAATTCAAAACATTTTTTACAATAGTGCTCTCATTATAACGTTGTGTATATGTCAGTTAGGGTTGTGACGGTGAGGAAATTTTCCCACCGGTTAATCGACGTGTGACAACTAATACCGGTACGGCATCACCGTCGGGGCGGGGGCGTTCCCTCTTTTCCTAGCTTTCCTTCTCTTTTAAATAGCTTGTAAAAGTGCGTGCGCATTTTACTTTCACTTTGAAATAGCGGCAATTCGGCGTAAAGCAATTGTTCGTTTGAATTTTCCGTCTTTTCCTCGCTTTCCGTCGCTTTTAAATAGCTTGAAAGCGCCGTGCGCATTTTACTTTCACTTTTGAATTAGTGGCAGTTATGCGTCAATTGCTTGAATGCAACAACAAAATACAACGTCAAACTCACTTTAGCATACATATAAAACATAGAACTTTTATTAACAAAACAAATACACCATTCTATAGGGCAGTCTATGCCTAATATAAAATAACAAATAACTTGCATAAAGTTTAAATAGGTATAAAAAACTGGAAATAGGCTAAGTAAACATGTATAATATATATTTGTCTTTCTGACATGGTGGAACTTTCCTTTGACTGCTATTATTTTTATGCAGATCTAATGATATTTTATATATCCTAACCCTAAACCCAAGCAATTGTATTGTTTAACTAAAATTTAAAAAAAATGTTTTTGTTAATTGAAATAAAATATAATATAAATATTAGATTACATTTTTTTATAAATGTTTAGAAAAGCTGACATGCTAAAATTATTAGAAGTAAAACTTTTATTTTTGCTTCTGTTTTTTTTTTTGTTTTTTTTTACTTCTGTTCATTTTTATGCAGATAATATTTTCCAAAACCTAAACAGTTTTCTTGTTAGCGAAAACTATTAAAAAATCATTTCATTTTTGTTAATTGAAATAAAGCTGAAATAAAATATTGATATTAGATGAAAGACTTCAATGTAAAAAACTGAAATAAAATGTTTAAATACTTAAATAACTAAAACTTAAACATACATTAAACCAAACAATAGAATAGAAATGACAACTAATAAAAATGACAAAACCACATAACAAAATTACTAACATATAACTTGTAAAAATGCCATTTATAACATCTAAAAACACTCTTCCTGAATACATTCACATACATTTATTTTATTGGCTTAATAGCATAAAATGCATGTTTTTTTATTATTATTAAGCCATATAATATATGAACAGTAATTAATCTAATACAGTCTAATCTAATGTAATATAACAAATATAATGAGTAACATACAATAAATGTACACATTATTATGTATAAACAGTAATATACAATCAGTTATATAAATTAATTTAATGCAATTGAATCTAAAATATAAACTGTAAAATACAATACAGACAAATTAATATAATATATGATCAACATACAATACATTTCTAATTGAAAAATATAGTTTTTTAATGTTTGCTTTTAAAAATTTATTTGTTGTAATTAATGTAATTTATATGATCTAAAAACACTCTTTCCTGTATATAATCAGATTTTAGATCAGATTTCAGACTTCAGATTAGATTTAGATCAGCTTTTAAACTAAAATCGTATGTGGAATGTTTTGACAGATCTTGTGATACAAATGATATCTTTTGTTGGCTTAATAATATAAAAAGCTTGTTTTTATTAGTTTGCTTGCAGAGATATTTCTCTTCTTCTGGAGTTCATGAAGGTCTTATGTGTGCAGGTCTTTCTGTCAGTCGTACGACATGAAGCAGCACTCCACCAAAGTCTTCAGAGACATCGTCAACGCTCTGGGCTCCTTCATCCAGTCCCTCTTCATCCTCCCTAGCGCAGGAAACACCTCCTCCACCAGCACGCCTGCAGGTCACACACACACACACACACACACGCACGCTGAGATCTTCATGTTATAATGACTGATTGTCTCATGTGAAAGTCAAACTGTGTGTGTGTCAGGTGGGTCGGTGTCGGGTTCACAGGGGTCCGCTCAGGGAGGTCCGGGTGCGGCAGCAGCAGGGGGAGGTCTGATCACACAGGCAGCTTTTGAGTACCGGGGCACCTGGATCCCCCTCATGAACGTCAGCGTCCAGGGCAGCGCCAAAGCCACCTAGTGAGTGACCACATGCTTTCAGTACTGACTAGCCTTTACTAGGGATGTGCGAGACTAGTCGACTAAATGATACTGCTGCTGCTAGTCGACACACTAGTTGTTTACATCCATTTGTTTTTGCACATTTCAAATTACTGTTAATGTTGCATTTTAAAAATTAATACATTATTTTCAAAAAGTCTAGTTGACATACTGGTTGTTTAAGTTTTTTTTGCACATTTATGTTTTGCTTTAAATTAAAAGAAATATATATATATTTTTTGGCACATTTATGTTTTGCAATATATTTTTTCAAAGGCTATGTTTTAAATTACTCTCATTATAATATTGCATTTTAAAGATTAATACATTATTTTGAAAAAATCTGGTTGCCACACACTATTCATTTGCATTTTTTTTTTTTTGCACATTTATATTTTGCTTTATATTTTTAAAAACGGTCAAATTGCTGTCATGTTAATGTTGCATTTTAAAAATCAATACACTATTTTGAAAAAGTCTAGTTGACATACTGTTCATTTACATAATTATTATTATTTTTTGCACATTTGTTTTATTTTGAAGAACATTCAAATTACTGTCATGTTAATGTTGCATTTTAAAAATTTATACTTTATTTTCAAAAAAATTCTAGTTGACATGCTGGTTGTTTAAGTTTTTTTGCACATTTATGTTTTGCTTTAAATTTTTAAAAATATATATATATTTATTTTTTTTGTACATTTATGTTTTGCAATATATTTTTTCAAAGGCTGTGTTCAAATTACTCTCATGATAATATTGCATTTTAAAAGTTAATACATTATTTTGAAAAAATCTGGTTGCCACACACTATTCATTTGCGTTATTTTTTTGCACATTTATATTTTGCTTTATATTTTTAAAAACTGTCAAATTGCTGTCATGTTAATGTTGCATTTTAAAAATAATACACTATTTTGAAAAAGTCTAGTTAACATACTAGTCATATCCATATTTTTTTTTTTTGCACATTTATGTTTTGCATTATATTTTTACAAAGGCTATATTTAAATTATTGTCTTGTTAATGTTACATTTTAAAAATGAATACATTATTTTCAAAAAAGTCAACATACTAGGCGTTTACATTATTATTTTTTCCACATTTATGTTTTGCTTTTTTATTTTTACGTCTACAGTAAAGTTACTGCCGTGGTAATGTTGCATTTTAAAAATGAATGCATTATTTTGAAAAAGTCTAGTTGACATACTGGTTATTTACATCTATTTGTTTTGCTTTATATTTTTGTGTCATTTTGCTACCTGTCATGTGTACACATACTTTTGATTCAGTTGATTTTAATAATATGTCTATATTGGTTAACATTGTTTAAGTGAACACTTAAGTTTAATGTACAATAATCATAATGCAAGGAAAGCACCTTGCATGTATATGATCTATTTTTCAGCAGCATTCAGTATGGGATTTGACTCTTTGATTCATAGGCTATTGGATCGCTCATACGTTTTTTGACTGTATTTTGACTGCTAGACTAGTTGACTAGTTGGTTACAAATTCCGTTTAAACGGTAAATCAGTCCCTAGTCTTTACTTTGTCCGTGCTGTTGGTCTAACGCGTGTTTCTTCTCAGTCTGGAGATGCTGGATAAGGTGGAGCCGCCCTCCATCCCTGAAGGTTACGCCATGTCTGTTGCCTTCAGCGCCCTGCTGGATCTGGTGAGGGGAATCACGTCTATGATCGAGAGAGAGCTCTCCAAACAGGAACAGGAAGCTGCTATGAGGAAGGAGGCGGAGCTTGTTAGTCCTCCACAGAGAGACAGCTGCCCTCAGGAACCCAGTGAGTTCATGTCGACGTCACATGTTTGTTTGTGTCATCTCAGAGGTCTTTGAATCTCTCAACCTGAAGTATATTTGGAGAGCATCTCTTTAATAATGAGACTATGCTCTGTGCTGACCTCTGGCTGCAAAACCAGTATACTGTGACTTTATATAACGTGTTGTAATATATAATGTAATATGTAATAAACAGTATGTGTAATGGTAACACTTTACAATAAGGTTCCATTTGTTAATATGAACTAACAATAAAAAATACTTGTAAATGGTTTATTCATATCAGTTAATATTAATTTCAACATTTACTAACACGTTATTAAAATCCATATGTATGTCTTAATAATAATTAATGGACGTGAGCTAACATGAACTAACACTGAATAGTTGTATAAATTAATTTTTATGACTTTTTTTATTCATTTTTATTAATAATTTATACTTTTATTAACATTTAAAGATGTTAATGAATACTGTAACAAATGTATTGATAATTGTTAGTTAATGCATTAATTAACATAAACTAATGGACTATATTGTAGTGTTAACTGTTTAACAAATGTAATATATAATTCATACTATACATACTATAATTCAATACTAACAGAAGATACAATACATTTTACAAATAAATCTAATCTAATATAATGTAATAATATGATATAATCGTATATACCTGTATGTGTATATACTGTATATATATATATATATATATATATATAAACAGAAAATCCAATAAATTTAACAAAAAAATAAGTAATAATAATAATACAAATAAGTCTAATCTGATAATGTATAAAAAGTAACATATAATAAATTTCACAAATGAATCCAATTCAATCTAATCTAAAATAATATAACATATAATATATAATATAATGTATAATGTAACACAATAAATCTTACAAATATCATATTTAAACAATAATATACAATGGATTTTACAAATTAATCTAATATAACAATATAATAAAATATATAATATCATCAATTACAATAAATGTTACAGTTATGAAATGTATAAACAGTAACACAATAATATGTACAAATTAATAAAATCTAATCTAAAACACTTTATTTTAGTGTGCAATTGTTAAACGTTACTTGTACTTACAATAGTAAGTTAACTGTATAATTACAAGCAACTAACATTATAACAACAAGAAGTACATAACAACAGTACATTAAAGGGGTCCTATTATGCATTTTCACTTTTTTAATTTTAGTCAGTGTGTAGTGTGTATGTTTGGGCATTAAAAAGATCTAGAAAGTTACAAATCCAAACCATACATCAATGGAAAGCTTATTCATTCAGCTTTCAGATATTGTATAAATCTCAATTTAAATGTATATGAATCATACCAGACTGACTATACTGATGATATTTGCCGTGTTTGTGTCAGTACGGACGAGACGGCCACAGAAAACATCCTAAAAGCGGAGCTGTCCATGGCGTCTCTGTGTGGCCGTCTGGGTTTGGTGACGCCGCGTGACGCTTTCATTACGGCCATCTGTAAAGCGTCTCTCCCTCCTCACTACGCCCTCACCATCCTGAGCAGCAACGCTGCCAACCTCTCCAATAAAGGTACGAGAGCGGTGCATGCTGACGTTCACCTCAAATACAGCTTATGATAAGCAGATAAACAACCAAAAATACAGTTTTGGTCAGTGATTTTAGCACTTCAAAACCGTTTCAGCCAAAACCAAAAACTCATTGCCACCCGAAACAGTTTTGAAGGGCTAAAATCATTGAGCACTTCTCCGATGGTGCAGCTGTGTGGATGCTAGTGCTGGATTAACAATATCAATTTCTCATTTTTAATAGATCTTCGTTTTGATGAACCAAGATCTTTTAGTTTATGTATTTCAGGTGATGTATGAACAAAACTTCACTAAACATTATTTGTAGTCTACCTGCTAGAGATGCACCGATTGCAAATTTTTTTGGCCGATTCCGATTTCCGTTTTTTTTTTGTAAGTGTGACCTGCCGATACCGATTTTTGCCGATTCCGATTTTCTTTCTAAATACTATAATTGACAGCATATACAAACAAAAATATATACTTTTTTAATGCAAAAAATTCTTTACATAATAAAAAATGATTAAACAATACAATTCCCCCAATCTGGACAAAGTTACATGTTCTCTCACTTAAACAACTCTCAAAATAAAGTGCTCTGTGACCAGAAAAGAGGTAGAAATAACAATTAACTGACAAGGAGTGGCTGTATATAACAAAACAGATGTCATTTCCCACTATGTTTCTTAAATTGTCATTTTTTTCACTAACCTTATTAAATGTGTCATCTTTCACATCAAATTCTTACATTGTTTCAATTAATTCAGTTATCAGTATCAGTAATCAGTATCAACAAACTCCATCTTTCCACTGCAGGAAACATAGAAGCTGCATCTGAAGTGGCATTAGATGTATTTACACAGAAAGTGTGACCAAGTATAAGTACAATATAAATACAAAATGTGAAAAATTTATGAATTTGAATGATGCACATAGCAGAAAATGTGTGCAAGTGGTATATTTTATACTTGAGCTATAATAATTAAGTTCTGTCATTCAGAGAGTGCAAATTGTGCATCTGGATTGATTTATAGGGAAATTACAAATTAAACAGTTATATAACAGTTCAAAGTTTGTAAATGTGATAAAAAACAGAATCTGAGCTGAATAGCAGGACACAGTCAGATACCAAATGATGTATGATATTACGCAGTAAATGTTATATAAACCACACAACCCTAATCTGCTCATTATGAATGTCAGAATCAGTGATGTGTATATGCCAGTGTTTTGTCCCTGTATTGATGCCGTATGTGTTTTGCAGTGGCTCATGAGGTTTGGGAGGAGATGGTGAACGCCTGCTGGTGCGGCCTGTTGGCGGCCCTTTCACTTCTGCTGGATGCCAGGTACGGGACGCTTTGTTAATATATCACTATACGCTATCATTCATATCCTAACTGTTATTGTAATAGCTAAAGCTTTATACTTGTGACCCTGGAGCACAAAACCAGTCATAAGTCGCATGGGTAGCCAACAATACATTGTCAAAATTATTGATTTTTTTTTATGTCAAAAATCATTAGGATATTAAGTAAAGATCATGTTCCATGAAGATATTTTGTGATTTTCCTACCGTAAATATATCAAAACTTCATTTTTGATTATTAATATGCATTGCTAAGAACTTAATTTGGACAACTTTAAAGGCGATTTTCTCAATATTTTGATTTTTTTTGCACCCTCAGATTCCAGATTTTCAAATAGTTGTATACTGTAGAGCTGTTACCATTCAAATGAAATCAGTATCAACAAACTGCAGAGGAAACACAGAAGCTGCATCTGAAGTGGCTTTAGATGTATTTACACAGACTGTTTATAAAGTTGAGGTGCCAGAAATGCATTTACACTGCAAAATAATTTTATAAGATTGTTTTAAATATTTTTTTAAACATACAAATAAGAAATGTTGGAATGATATGAAACCAAACCAGTAGGTGGCGGCAAATGACTGTTTGAATGAGTGAGTCATTTAGTCCTTCATTCAACAGATTCGTTCAAACGGCTGATTCATTCAGAAACGAGGCAAGTGACTACTGTCTTTATGAATGGGTTACTGAATCATTGACTCACTTAATTCGTTCAAAAACGTGGATTCATTCAGTAACGAA